CATTCATGATGTCTAACTTCGGTGGCAGCATAGCCGTGGCCGTAATCGTTGTGTCCTGACGCCATGATTCTTTAGGTTGTTTGGGTATAAGAAAATCAAGCTTGAAGTGTCTATTCTAGGTTCATATAATAATATAATTTTGTTGTTCAAGAATTATATATGTTTTGTTCACTGGAGGCGGGCGATGCTGTTTTCCGCTGCCTACCCTACCTACTCTTTCGTCATTCCTGCCGGAGCTGAGGTTGTTAAAGCAGCTCAACTCCGACGATTCTCAGTGGAGAAGTGCTCAACTCCGAACCAATAAGCCTCGACCTTTTCTGATGAGCAAACTCCCGAAGAAACCGACTCTTCTCCATATTATTCTGCTGCAATGCCGAGCGAGTACATACTGTACTGTAGTAGCTCTGGCTTTTATAACAAGGAAATCGGAGATCACTGCCAATTATGGTTGATGGTAGGCTATTGACTTTCCGCGGACATCAGAACCGCCGTGGTAGGATTGAATGCAAGTTTCAATACCTCCATCATATTCATCACGGGCTCAAACACACCGTGCAAAGTCATGATGGAAGTCAAAAAACATGAAAATCTCAAAGAAACAACTAGTTATTCCACTTTACAAGCTCTTTTTCTTGTCCGGGAGCAACGTTCCGGCCGGATCCCCAATAGCGGGAAAGCCATCAAACAATACGATGTGATGCGGAGAAAAGGGGCGGAACATCTCCGTCGAAACCCCAAAGCATCAAGATTGCAAGCAGCCTAGCCTAGTTAGCACATTACGAAGCAGTCGCCATTCGCCAACCATATTCCCGAAGTCCTGTCTCGTGCACTTCCCCGTGGGGTTTGGTCCGTGAGGGGAAACATTGAGCTTCCTCTTTCATCAGCCTCTGACTACAGCAACAGATGGATCACAAAACAAAGTTGCATATTGTGGCTTGCTGTTGGTCCTTTTGTCCTGCATTGATTGCTACAGTACTTTATCGCATTGTGAGGATTCATCTAGATCTTCTTGGATATGAGAGCGAAGGAATCGCCCGTGCCGAAAAGCGAAGACTCGACTGATTATTCTCATAGAGTTTCGTGACAGGTGCATTACTGTAGCATGTATGTAACTTTCCAGCACACTTCAGGTCTAGACTAACCCCAACGATTCGATCGTCATTGAGTTTTTCTAGCTGTGATGGGGGCCCCCTGTTCTCCAACCAAAGACTGCAGAGCCGCCACCATCAGGCACGGCTCCTCGGCTGTGGCGTATCAGAACTCCAGATCAAAGCCCGAGCATTCCTCGTCTTGAATGAATCACGGATATACAGATGAAAACAATTGATCACGTACGTACATTCATTCATCTGTCAAGCGAGAGAGCCAGGATCATGTCCGATGTTGGAATAAAGAAGCGACATCGGTTCAATTGCTCCTCCACAATCGGGATTAACGAAACAATCCATTAACTAACTAGGTAGACTTTCTCGCTCCGCAACTCGGCCGTAAATCAAGAGCTGCTTCTGGCCCGGCCCCGGCGAACTCCTTGTTTCCCTGCGGGGTGATCTAACCCCCATCCGTATGGAGTCTGTCTGTGGATCTGCTCTGCTTAAGCGTCGTGATAGCCATCGTCCCCCTTGCGATTCGTTACCCCGACCTCGGCTGGGTCTTATTCATTGCATTGCAATGCAACGATCCACTCACTCACTGTAGGTAGGTAGGATTGACAATTTGATCATCTTTGACTGGTTGGGGTATGGTGATATTCTGCCTTACAGCAGTAAGGTAGAGAAGAGGGTGTGACTCGTTGTGTTACCCACGGTTTAAAAAGGCGGACTTGCTCCGAGACATTCAAGTTTCCTTTATAAGTGCCGGCCCGCAACTCATTTCCACGTTTGAGGATCTGCAGAGCACTCTAACTTTCTCCTTCTCCTCTGCTTTGTCTACAGACAGACTCAGTAACTAGGTATTCATTTGCTAGAGGCAGTTGTTATTGTTTAGCAGCAATGGCTCTCAACCACGGAGAAAAGGAAGAAGGCAACGAGTCACCCGTTTCTCTCGACCCTGAGCGTTCCCATGTTCAAGATGCCGTTCACACAGACGACGCTACCGTGGTTTGCCCGTCGAGTACCACTGATTCCAAGCTCATGACCAAGATTGATCTCCATGTCATTCCTTTCTTGTGTATCATGTATCTGCTCGCTTTCCTGGGTCCGTTTACTCATACCGTGTCGCGTCGCATAAACAATCGGCTAACACCATGACGTACAGATCGTGTAAACATCGCCAATGCCGAAGTTTATGGCCTGTCCGAAGAACTTGGCCTCAAAAAGACAGAATTCAATACCGCCCTCGTCGTCTTCTTCGTGCCATACGTCCTTTTTGAGATCCCCTCAAACATTCTCCTCAAGCGCTTCAAGCCCCATGTCTGGCTCAGCCTGAACATGTTCTTCTTCGGCCTTACTACTCTCCTCCAGGGTCTGGTTCAGAACTACAGCGGTCTTATTGCGACTCGTTTCTTCCTGGGTCTTTTCGAGACGGGCATGTTCCCTGGTGGTAAGTTGATCTAGCACATCGTGGCATAACTAGTACATATGACTTACACTAAGCGCAGCTTTCTACTTGATCGGCATGTGGTATCGCCGACACGAGGCCCAGCGTCGCTACTCTTTCTTCTTCAACAGCACCACTCTCGCCGGCGCATTCGGCGGTCTCCTCGCTGCAGTCATCGGCAAGATGAACGGTATGCGTGGCTACGCTGGTTGGCGCTGGATCTTCATCCTCGAGGGCGGTCTTACTGTTCTCGTTAGCTTCTTCTTCTACTTCCTGCTCCCAGATTTCCCTGAGCAGGCCAAGTGGCTCACCAGCGAAGAGAAGCACTACGTCACAGCAAGACTGCGCGTAGACCAAGGCCACGCCGGCGCCGAGCGCAAGACGACCTTTGCCGATGCGCTCAACGTGCTCAAGGACTACAAGATCATCATTGGCGGCTTCATGTACTTCGGTCTCGTTGTGCCCGCATACGGCTATGCCTACTTTGCACCCGGGATCATCAAGACGTACGGATACAGTCCCATTCAGACGCAGCTTCACAGCGTTCCTCCGTGGGCTGCTGCTTTTGCCTTCTCGCTTGCTGTCGCGTTCGCGTCAGACAAGCTTCGACACCGAGCCTCATTCGCCATTTTTGCGATCCTCGTCGCCATCACCGGGTTCGCAATTCTTCTAGCCGTCCACGACAACCACTCCGTCCAGTATGGCGCTCTATTTCTCGTCACCATGGGCGCATACACCGCTATGCCCATCATTGTTTGCTGGTTCAATATGAATCTCGGAGGCCATAAGAGACGAAGCATCGGCAGCGCGTGGCAAGTCGGCTTCGGAAACATTGGTGGTATCATCGCCGTGTATGCCTTCTTGGCCAAGGATGCACCAAAATTCATCCCGGGTTACTCCATCTGCATTGCCTTTACTATTGTGTCGATTATTGCGTGTCTCTCATACGCAGCTGTGATTCTATACGAGAACAAGAACAGAGATGCGAACCCACCGCCGACCGAACTCACCAACGAGGAGAAGGCCGAGCTGGGCGATAATGCGCCGACATACAGATATTTGCTGTAGATAGAGTTGTACATGTGGCTGGTTCACAAAAGTTAGATACATACCCCAAGCAATCATTTTGCGTAATGTTGATGAATTACGAATGAATTAAAGAGCTTGCTACCATGGTCAGCAGACAGCTTGTCCATTACTCTGTTGGTGATTCGGTCTTGAATTTGACTCTGAATTGTTTCTGATGGGCCAGCCCTCAAGAACAATATCCTTCATTTTGATCCGTTCATGTAAAGGTCGAGAGTGTCTAAAGGAAACACGGAGTCTCGGCCGTATTGCTATTAACTCTTCGTAGTTCCCATATGCAGTGCATCGTATTGGAATGGATGCTGACCACAGACAATGGGGACATGTCAATTCCTAGACTCTGGAATTCAATGCAGTAGTTTCTAGAAGCATCCGTGGATACAAGATGAAAACTCTTCAACAACATTGACTTGCTGCCTCTACCTAGGTACTGAGTAGTAACAAAGGATGCAGGTGGATAGAAGATTGACTTACACCAACGAGTGGGATCTGTCGCTAAACCCAATCCCGCCCAGCTTCTACTACTGCCCCTCCTTACACGCCCTTCACGTAGAACAAAACCCCACTAACAAGGCGTCAACTGCGCCCAAGTCAACCAAACTTTCTACAGTTTTCAGCTCTTTTCATAGACTCAAGTATAAACACAATTCTCTATAGAGGGTATCTTGGAGCTTTTGTACAGCTATCAACTATCTTACGTTTACAATGGCCACAATTCGACATGCCCGAAGGGAGGGTAAGCTCCAACAGCCAATCCAATGCCTCTGGAGTCGTCATGGTGCTAACTTATGCTCTCTGAAGATGCTCCCATAATTCTCCAGCTCATCCAGGAGCTCGCCGATTACGAGAAGGAGCCTGATGCCAACAAGGCGACCGTTGAAAGCATCCAGGCTACAGTCGCGTTCGCACCCTCCGACTCCCCTAATATCGACGCCTCCATTATCCCAGCCACCGAACCTATATCACCAACGAAGCCCGCTCGCTGCCTTCTCCTCTTTACCCCCGAAGGTGAGGCCGCTGGTATGGCATTGTACTTCTACAACTACAGCACATGGCGCTCGCGTGCAGGCATCTACCTAGAGGACCTATACGTGCGCGAATCGGCGCGTGGCAAGGGATACGGCAAGAAGCTGTTGAGCACTCTGGCTAAGCAAGTCCTTGCTATTGATGGCGCTCGTCTTGATTGGGTTGTTCTCAAGTGGAACGAGCCCAGCATCAAATTCTACGAAAGCATTGGTGCATACGCCATGAACGATTGGGTCGGTATGCGTGTAGATGGCGAGGGCCTGAACAAGCTGGCCAGTTTGACAGATTGATAGACCAAATGGAAAACAAAATAGTTAAATGTTCCCGAGCACGGAGGCTATTTGGAATGATCTCTATGACTTTCTGCGTTCAACAGGGTCGGGCGCAGTCCTTGGTTGTGAATATGGCTCTCGTTGAGATCGGGAGGCGGGTACTGGCCGTTTACCCTTTCTATCGACGCCCTCGAAAATAGCCAGTTGCGCTTTTGTAGGGGGGACCGCGGGGGTTGTTAAAGCACCCCATATGAACTTGAGCCTGCCTGGCTTTGAATTTGGATCCATCTTCGGGGTAATCTGCCAGACTCGTTGATAAGCACGCCTAAACCATCTGGGCGAATACTCCTCATCATTGAACCTTGGTTGATATGGATGCTTTTCCATATCCCGTCCTACCAAAGCATAAGGGGAAAGCGGACTCGTACGCTCAACCTGAGAGGCCGGCCGAGAAGCATAGCCCTCCCAATCCCAGGTATCAGACTGAGGAGTGGCACCGCGTGAGGGCTTCGCAACAGGTCGTCTTTCCGGGACTTTCCACTGATCTTCCTGTTGAGCGCCGCCGCTGAGTCGGCCTAAAAGATCCCATTCATCTTTTCCAAGTGGTGGCATCGTTTTGTTTGAAGCGCGCTTCCAGAATCTTTGTCGCTTAGCTTGATATATATTTGGGGTGGGTGGTCTCCCCCAGATGGTTTGACTAGGGACCTCTGAATCGGTTCGGAGGCTTCTGATATTTCTATGAGGCCAAGATAGCCCTGTTGATTGCTGTAGATCCCTTTGACTGCGGAGGAGTTTTTGGAGTTTCTCGATGTCCCACTTCTCATAGAATGCTGGCTGCAGAGGCTTTGGTCCTTTTCTTAACAGATGTGCTTTCGCTTTCGGTTCTTCTCCATTGCTTGGGGTGTCGTTCGTGTCCTCCGAAGAATTCGTAGAAGTCCGACTTTCTATCGTTGTTTCGGCTGGTTTAGGTGGAGAGGAATCGTTTTCCAACTTAGTTGCTTTAAGCTCGACCGTTTCTGCAGGCTTTTCATCCGCTTCAACTCCTTGGATCAAGGCCTCCAAAGCATCCGAGTTGCTGGGAGGTTCGAGCTGTATGAAGTCCGAAAGTAGGCTTCGCCTTCGGGCCCCAGTTCTACCAAATGCCTCCATTATCAAGTCGTACATGAGCGTTTGCTTGCCACTGTTTGCTGCCCTCAATCTACGCAGAAGATTGGCCGCAGTGGCGCGGTGCTTGTTTTGGTGGCGATCATATTTCCGATGGCTTCGAAATCGTGTGCGAATACGGTGCGTAATTTCTGGACGTATTGCTGGAGGGAGATACGATGTTTCGCGAAGGATGTGTCGATAAAGGTGAAGAGGAGGTAGATAGGCGGGGATTAAGAAATGAGGACGAGGCATTATGGCGACCGCAGTAAGGGCAAGAGACAACAAGAGAGGCGCAAAGCCATGTGAGAGAATTTTAAATGCCAATTGCAAAGGCTCAAGATTGGGTCTTGAAATGATATTGAAGCATGCATTTGGATATCTATAATGGTATACAGTAGTTTTTGTTTCTACGGTAGATCTTCGGGCAGTTGGCTCAAACGTCGCAGAGCTCCACCGTTTATAGTAGATAGAAAGGCAGTGGACTGAGTCTGATATATCTGCAACGATATGCTTTACTCCAAAGGTATGGACTGGAGTCAGAAGGCGATGTGTCTCAGTCATATTAGTGAACCATCACCATGGCAGGGGTAAGAAGTCGCCTGGAGATACTTGTGCTCTAGCAGCAAGAGCTTGAACAACGCACCCCACGTCATTGATGGCATTGCATAACTTGTTGGTTGCGACAGTGCGAATGGAATTGGGAGATCTATGCAATTCACATCCAAGGAAGTACCTTTTGTGTTATGCATGGAACAAAAGAGTGGCCAAGTTATGACGACCATCAACAAGTGGTTGCATTAGTGGCCTTGACAATACGCGCGTGGCCTGAGAATTAATGGCCATAAGCTTCGCGTACTTGCACAATTCTTTAGCAGCCAATGGCCTGATCGCGAACAACAAAGGCATGGTCACTGCAACAGGCCAAGTTACAATGTTAGCGGGCCTCAACATAGGTACATTGACCTTCGGGAGGCTTGGCTCGTGCGTTCACGGCCTTTACGCGCTCTACGCGCGAGACACGTCCAAGGGCGCGACCGAGCACGAAGCAGACACGTCTCGATTAATTAAACGCATCTTTTTTTTTTTTACTCTTCCCGTTCCCGTTCACGCTCATCAGCCGAGGGATCGGGAACCTGCTGCAAGTGAACACAACCTAACAAGTCACTTTGACGTGCATAAGCTTAGTACGGTTGACGATGGTACATCAATTAATTGCCTCCGCCGAGGCCAATTTATCCCTCTTTATCAAGTGCAGAAGTAACCTGCATTAGCATCTTCTGGGCACCCAACTTTCCTCTGCAAACAAACACACCTGCAGCCTTGATCACTTTTTTGTTTTCATCCTCATTTCGCTCTCGTCCGTCTCTTACACAACAGGAGCTTAATTGAAAGCAGCTATAGTGGAGGTCTTTCACCGGGCCAACTGAGCTACAGGCGGCTCCTTGCGCAGAACCCGCTAAAGCATTGGTTGTCAGCGCACTCCCCGCTCGTCTCTGGGGCATCTTCCAGGTACCTGAGACCCTGGGCCAGTTCACCTGCGACTCACTTCCAATCACTTGCGCAACTCCGCCCTGGCCCGCCCACTGCACTATCTCGAGCTACTCATTTCGTCTCAACTCCATCTTCATTGTGCAACCACCCATTTCCTAGGCGCACAAAACGACTGAAACTCTGACCACGAAGCGCATGAGCGAGCCCGGATAACTGCCTTTAGCCTCGTACGGCACTTACAAATTACTGTATCCTATCATATTGCCCGGCCACATCCACCTCTTGTTTCAAACTTTGCGCGTTTCCCTGCTGATTGTACATACCCTTTCGACTTGTTCTTGTGGTACTGGCTGGCGCTGTGATGTTATTACACTCTTCATCAACCAACCTCGAAAAGCCCTGTTAGCCGAGAAAGTGATAATATCACACGCTTCGAGTAATCACCCTATAATACGAGATGCCGTCAGCATCGCAATCATCTCAACAATCATTCAGCATGAGCCAACAATCGCAATCGGGTGTGGGTAACTCCTTCAGAGGTTACAATGGTGACTCTGAAGGTGCTACCATCTACTCAGTATGCAATGCCCAAAAACGATATCACCCTCCCTCTGCTAACAATCGACTCATAGGCATCGTATTCTGGCGTGGATGTATACGAGATGGAGGTCAACAATGTCGCCGTGATGCGCCGTCGCAACGACTCTTGGCTTAATGCGACCCAGATCCTTAAAGTTGCCGGAGTAGATAAGGGGAAGCGCACCAAGATTCTCGAGAAAGAAATCCAAACGGGCGAGCACGAAAAAGTTCAAGGTGGTTATGGAAAATATCAAGGTACTTGGATAAAATTCGATCGAGGTGTCCAAGTTTGCCGTCAATACGGCGTCGAGGAGCTTTTGCGACCACTCCTGACCTACGACATGGGTCAAGACGGAGGTGTTGCTGGCCGAGGCGATTTTAATACACCAACAAAGGAACAAGCCATGGCCGCACAGAGGAAACGGTTGTATAATCAAAGTACGGACGGAAGACCTAATGGCTTAAGTGGGACATTCTTCAAGAACATCTCGACTACTGCCTCACATGCCGTCGCCGCCATCAGCAAAGCTCGCTTCGATTCACCAGGCCCTCGAAGCCGCAATGGTCCCTCGAGAGCACCCTCTTTTAGCCGCCAAGCATCCATGCAGAACGGAGATGACTTTCCCAGCAACTCTCAACAGAGCTTTGCCTCTGATTATGGACAACAAGTTGATTCAGCATACTCGACGCAGCAGATTAACAACTCAGTTCAGATGAACGAGACAGAGCCGCCCCGAAAACGCCAGCGAGTGACCATGACGCCAGGCGATAGCTTTAGTGGATATGGGCAAAACATGGACATGTATGCAGCGGCCTTCCCTGGATCACCAACGGAACCAAACGAGTCATTTATCTACACCCAAAATACTATGCAGGATGGCTCGCCAGTGGACGAGGGTATTGGACCTCTGGCGCCTCTCCCCTACGAGATGTCCCCCGAGGTTGAGATGAAGCGAAACATGCTGATGAGCTTGTTTCTGGAAGCTCCTGGCACCGATCCCACGAAACACGATATGCTTCGGAGTTACACCCCAAAGGAATTGGATATGCCCATCGACTTGCAAAGTCATACTGCCCTCCACTGGGCTGCTACACTCGCCCGCATGCCTCTGCTCCGTGCTCTCATCGCTGCCGGCGCTTCCCCGTCCCGCGTGAATGCTTCTGGCGAAACAGCCCTGATGAGGGCATGCTTGGTCACAAATTCACAGGATCATAACTCGTTCCCTGACCTCCTAGAAGTTTTGGGCAGCACCATAGAGGCACGGGACCATAAGGGACGGACGGTGCTTCATCACATTGCGGTAACAAGCGCTGTAAAGGGGCGCAACGCTGCAAGCCGATATTACCTCGAAAGTCTTCTGGAGTGGGTTGTGAGGCAAGGTAGCGCACCTAATAGCCAGGCTACCAACGGGAATGGGCCCAGCGCCTCACAGTCGGCCAACCCAAAAATGGGAATCGCTCGCTTCATGAGCGAGATAGTCAACGCTCAAGATAGTGTTGGTGACACAGCCTTGAACATTGCATCTCGAATCGGAAACCGCAGTATTATTTCACAATTATTAGAGGTCGGCGCCGATCCGAATATCGCTAACCGTGTTGGTTTACGTCCCCTTGACTTTGGCATTGGTAGTGAGAATGTTGAGGACAAGACGAACGGCGACGTCAATGTGGATAAGAACGGAGCGACGGGGACAAATCAACGCAGTCGTGAGAGCAGTGACGATATAGTAGCTTGTAAGTCGATCACATCTCGAGAATCCATCGGTTCGTTGCTAATAAGAACAGCCATCTCTCACCTATTATCAGAAACAGGCTCAGCCTTCCAAACCGAGATGAAGGCCAAACAAGCTTCTCTCGACACCCTTCATACCACTCTCCGCACTACGTCAACACAACTTGGCGAAGCCCGACGAACTTTCGAACACCTGAGCGCGACACTCAAGAAGCAACAATTAGCTAGGCAAAAGGTCGCCAATCTGTCACACGCACGTGAGGACGAGCAAGTCCGTCTCATGCAAGAACAATCCAGAGCATCACAGCCCAACCCCTCATCTTCATGGGAAACAGAGCTGTCTGCTATGCTCGAAGCCGCTGATGATACCTCGGGAGGTGGTTTCGGCGGCGAGGGCCTTCTGCCTTCAGCAGCGGTTCTACGTGCCCGTATTCGCGCTGTCGAGGGACGTCGTGATATGACTCGAAAGATGGTCGCTGCCCTAAAAGGACGGAGCCGCGATGTCGAAGTCAAGTACCGTCGTGTAGTCGCGTTGTGCACGGGAGTCCAAGAAGACGAAGTTGATGCTGTCATTGACGGTCTACTCAAGGCTGTGGAAAGCGAACACGAGGAGCTCGAGATTAACCGTGTGAGACGCTTCCTCGGCGGCGTCGAAGGTGTTGTGCACTGATCCTGAGTTCTTGATTGAATTCCTTGACTGCACAGCACACATCGGTTTGTGCTTATTGCAGACTGTAACGACTACACTTTCTGTACGATTCTGTGTTTATTTATACACGGTGCTTTTGATACCCGCTGAGCCCGAAAAGCACCCCTGCTCGTGGTGGACTAGAACGATGGGCGTTTTCTTACTTTTGGCCATGGAGTGCATACCTTTCTGTTTATAGTTCCATTGCTGTTTCAAGCTTTTTGTCGCATTGTCGTTTTGTCTACGAGAACCGAAGATTGGACGACTACTAATCTATATCTTTATTTCTGGACGAGAAGGAGTAGGAGTGAGCATAAAAGAGGAAAGAGGAGAAGTTGGATAGATAGCGCCCTTGACGAGTAATGGTGTATAATATATGACATGAAGAATATTCATTGACTGGGTGCTTTCACTCCAGTGAATATAAGCTACCTAATGTGAAAAGAGACTGGGCACTTTACGTCTCTGTAGAACTCCTGTGTCGCCCATTTCAAAACGCCAAACGCCATGCAATGCCATGTGATATATACAACCAAGCAGATGGATTCTCCAGTTCAGCTCCAAGACCCAGGGCGATCTTGCCGATAATCTGATGGCATCTTCATGCAACGCCATCGCGATATACCCCTTCCCATCTCTCCTCAACACCCCCAACTTTGTTCCTCAGGACCTTGATCTCAGCATCAAGCTCGTCTACGTTCCTTGACAAAGCACTGACCTCCTCAAACCGTCTTGAGCCCTGGGCGGTCTTGACCATGGCTTCAACCATGAAACGCTGCTCTTCCAAGACAACGAGTCGCTCGCGAAGCTCCTTTTCCTCCGCCTCGAGCTGGCTCACCACTGTACTTCCTTCACTAGGTGCTTGCGACGACGTCTCATCAACTAGCTCTGAGTGCCGTAAACTTGATCCCGAGTGGTGATGTGAAGCAAGAAGTCGTGATGTAGAAACTGCTGTCGAAGACGATGCAGATGAGCGCGAGCGAAGCAGCTGGGGGAGGCTCTTTAGAGGAAGCATATTTGTGTGAAGAAAACCACTAGCGTATGTATATATCGCCATTTGAAGGCGTCGCTGTGTCGGGCTCTCGGTTGGGAGATCACGCAGGCGCTTCGCAGCGATACCGTATTTTCCAAAGCTATCAACCAAACGCTTGCGGATCTTGGCCGCGTCCTGAATCTGTGCATGTGTAGGAGGTGGCTTGTTGAGATCGATCTCCCCGCTCTCCTTTTTCTCCGGCTGTAGATTGAGTAAGGCTCGATGAAAGGAGGGTAGAAGTTGCTGGATTCCACGCTCAAACTGCCTCAACGTCTCGTATGCTCGTTGATCCACTGGTTTGTGCTGTAACGAAGCTGCAAAGTCCCGAGCGGAGAAGATTGTGTGCTTGCAGTCACGACACATCCGAATGTCTATCCCAACTTGCCCATCGCCAGTAACTGACAGGGGCTTTTCAGTCCCCGAAGGCGCTTTTGTTGCTCCGTTAGTTTCGTTTGACACATTAAGGCCAACTTCAGAAGAACATCCTGTTTGCGGATCGCCGCATACGACTCGGCCACATATACGGCAGTGATGCCTTCTAAACGTCCAAGAACCAAATTCCTGCTGGCAAAAAGGGCATTTAGAGACAGTAGCATCTTCTTCCCAAGTAACAACTGACTGTTCGATGAGCTTCCGGGGGTTCTTTTGTCCTGCTAGTGATGTGACCGGGCCTAGTAAGGAGCCATTGGATTGTGTAAGCTTTTCGGGAGGGTTCGCTAGTAATTTTGTGAGTTTTGTTAATCGTTTTTCGAGTCGTGAGATTTCTAAATTCTGTCGCTCGACCTTTTTCCTTCTTATTTCCACGAATGCGTTAGTGTGGTCCGTCAATACACCTTGGTGATCGTTGTATCCATCTCTTGATTTAAAGCATGTCTCGCAAACCCGCGCCCAGTAGCCTCGAGCCGGTTCGTGTTTTGCGCTTCGACTCAACTTCATTTGGTACATGGTATGTTCCTCGCAGAATAATCGTCCACAATGTCGGCAGTTTATGCTTCCATTCAAAGGTCCCAGACTTCTTCCGCACGCCGGATCTGTACAAAGATCGTAACTGGTAGACCGTTGCCAATGATGCCGTGTAATAAGTTCGTCGGGGTCAACCGGGCCTTCGAGAGGGTTCTTTCCAGCAGTACTAGATGGTACCGCAACAGGGAGTGATTCGTTTGATTCGAAGACATCGAGACCGCGTAGTTTCTGGTTGATGAGTGAGAGAGGCTGGAATCGTTTGGCCTTGAGAACCTGCTTGTCAAACCACGTCTTGACTTCATCCTGCTCCTCTTCTGGTAATTCTTGGTGGTTGTCGTCGATATGTCGGTTGAGTTGAAGAAGGGTCATCTATCGAGACAGTATTTAATAAACAGCATTCAACGTAGATACCATGATAATTTACCATCTCTTCGTTGCATATTGGGCAAACAAGTGCGCCATCAGCAGGGCCTTTCCCTTGAGCGCCAACGCTGATGCTATTTCCAATGTCCTGGCCCGGAATATCTGGTGAGATACCACTAATAGGTGGTGATATCGACGATGAAGCCATCGACATGCTGCTTTCGGACGCTGCCAATGGACTTGCTACTCGAGGCGCATTCGTAATCGGAGGTGTCGGGGGAGCAAGGCCCCTGCCGCTGCCTAGGACACGGCCGCCGCCCAATTTGCGGCCCGACATGATGAAGAATCTTCGAAGTGAGAAACCAAAACCAAAGAGAGAAAGAGGGCGACCGTAGCGGGTCGGGCTCTATCTCGAGCTGCGCCGCGGGGGAATGTTGGATGTAAGATGATGGATTGAGGGGATACACGATAGCCTGGCAAGGTACTACTCCAGTGGCTTGGTGCTCATGCCAGATAAAGAGGTACCTTGGACTCGGGGCTCCAAAGGCGGTGAACCAAGTACACTTATAGCATATGTCATTCCATGCCAAATAAAGTTAGCTCTCATTCGCTTCCTCCCGTTCCCCGTCCGAGGGGGCAAGAAAACTTGGGACCTTTATCTTGTACGACAAAAAGATTGGAGCAAGTGCTAGTTGCCTAAGCTTAGCTTACAGACCAGCTTGTTTTAGCCTCCTAGCTTGGGTTCCAAAGTTTTCTTACCGCCATGAGCCGTCGTGTCTTATCACAACCCCTGTAGCTTCGATAAGAGTCAACCTTTGTCACCTTTACTTACCGTCCCTGACTTTAGTTGATGGGGAAAAATGACCCCCATTCAGAAGCCTGTATCAGCCCAGCCGGCGCTGGCATCTCCGGCATCTCCTCCCGCCTCTTCTACTCCCCCCTCCGAATCTTCTTCGGCTTCGGCTTCTGCTTCTGCTTCTTCCTCCTCTGCTTCAGTCGCTATGGCAAAGACTTATCCTCCTGTACAGCCTGGAGGCAGTCTGATCTTAGCATGGCAAATCAAGCACAAGAAGGTGCTAGTTGTCGGCGGTGGTGAGGTACGTCTGAATCATCATCACATGCGCCGAGCCTCAGACTTTGGATGTTTGAAGTGCTCATCAATCACAAACAACCATACAACCAATGATTCCTCTTGCCTGACAATTGTCTTTAGGTCGCTGCTGGTAGAATCCTAAACTGCCTCAACGCCGACGCCAACGTCACTGTCGTGTGCCCCAAGTCCGGCCTCAATGATGAAGTCGCCTACCGAGTCAGCGAAGGTCAAGTCGCCCACGTCGACCGAGTATTCGAGCCCGGAGATTTAGACGGAGCCAGCATGGTTCTGGTCGCTATTGACGACCCCGCCGCCTCGACCGTCGTTTGGAAGCTTTGCAAGGAGCGAAGGATTCCCGCCAACATCGCCGACGTACCACCCGAGTGCGATTTCTATTTCGGCAGTATTCATCGAGATGGTCCCCTCCAGATTATGGTCAGCACCAATGGAAAGGGGCCCAGGTTGGCGGCGGCCATTCGGCAGTTCATCGCCAAGCAGCTGCCCAAGAATGCTGGGAATGCCATCGAGACTATCGGTGAACTGCGACTCAGATTAAGAAAAATGGCCCCCAAACCTGAGGATGGACCCAAACGAATGCTTTGGTCAGTTTACAAGAGGCCCTTCACGTAGACTATACTGACAGTCCCGATGATAGGATGTCCAAAGTTAGCGATACCTACAAGTGGGACGAGATGTGCGGCCTCACAGACGAAGATATGGACAATCTCCTTCTGTTCTATCCTGCCAACAAAGTTCCTGCGATGGACGTTCTGCTAGCTCTCCGCGGAGGCACTGATGTCAAGAAACTCGACGTCTTTGACGGCTCATTCGGCTTCAGTGTCGGCGCCTAGATACTGAGAACACATACAGGAGACAGGATCTACTAAACGATGGCGCAAGACACGGAGAACACTACGATGTATACAATTTATTTGGGACAAGGTGCATATATGGTTTGGAACATTTTGACTGCGTGTTGTAGATGGGAAAGACGCTGTCACAGCATTATTTGGTATGGAAAGGGCGGTTTCAGAACAGTTTATCAGTTGCGGTATTATTTGTCGGGGACATACTATTCATTCTAGATTGTCGTATTTACAAATCCTTTGAATTGCTCAGACACGTGGATGGTCGATCCCGAGACATCGGCAGTTGATGTCCAAACAAAACGAAACGCGATGATTCGCTCGGCAGTTGTCAGGGCGTAAGCACTGTATTAATTATAGGAGGGAGAGATGACAAGATGGTCGTTAAATTTTGTATCTCTTCTCTATGGTCGAGTTTTCATCCGCTCAACCTTTTAACTGATAAATTTTATGTCGTCATGCATCATAACTTGGTATCATGAAAGCCTCTACAGCTTAAGAACCACCTTGTGGGTAGCGGTCTTCTCTTTCTCGTCGCCGAAAACATCAATGTCCCAATCAGGAGAGTCTGGAAAATTGTTAGTTGATATTCAGGTATTTTGGATTGTGGATTGAGACTTACAGGTCTTGGGGATGTTGAAACGCTGTGGCTTCTCGCCAAACTTCTCAAGCTCCTTGATAGCCTCCTCGTCAAGCTCCACCTCCTCGAAGTTGCTGCGAATACGAGCGGGAGTAACGGACTTGGGGATGACGATGTGGTTGTCGAGGGTGGACCAGGCGAGGATGACCTGGGCGGGTGTGATCTCCTTGCCCTTGGACTTGCTGAGGCGCTCAGCGATAGCCTTGACCTCGGGGGTGTTGATGAGAAGGGGCTCGCCCCATGAGTTGTTGCCGAAGGCAGAGTAGGCAGTCAGGTAGATACCCTTCTCCTTCAGGTACTTAACGAGCTCGGGCTGGGGAAGACGAGGGTGGCGCTCGACTTGGTTAATGGCGGGGGTGACACCGGTGTCCTTGATGATGGTCTCGAGCTAGTGGGGGTCAGTCGTTTGTGTACATGAGTTGGGGTGAGGCATTGTAGATACTCACCATCTCAATGGAGAAGTTGGAGACACCAATGGAGCGGACCTTCTCCTTGGGCAGCTTGGTAACAGCCTCCCAGGTCTGGGACAGGGTGACGCCCTGGTCAAGCTCGGTCTTGTTCTTATCGTCGGCCTTGAGGGGGAAGAGCTCGGGGCCATTCTTGAAGGCAACGGGCCAGTGGATCAGCCAGAGCTGTTGGGGGGTCAGCTGTGCGCGGAAACGAGTGAATGAAGCTTGGACTCACGTCAATGTAGTCAAGGCCAAGCTCCTCGAGGGAGTCATCGAGAGCACCAGGAACCTCCTCAGGGCGGTGCTTGTTGTTCCAGAGCTTGCCGGTGATAAAGATGTCCTCACGCTTGAGGCCGGGGACGTCGTTGAGGGCCTTCTTGATGCCCTCGCCGACCTCGCGCTGGTTCTGGTAGATCTTGGCAAGGTCGAGGTGGCGGTAGCCGGCCTTGAGGGCCTCGTAGACACCGTTACCAACCTCACCGGGGGCAGCCTGCCAGGTGCCGTAGCCGATCTGGGGCATCTTGTGGCCCGAGTTGAGGGTGACAGTTCGACCGAAAGACATGATTGCGGTTGTTTGTTTGGGAGAGAGTGTGTTATGTGAGAGGGGTTGTGTCAGTGTGAGAATGGGAAGAGGGAAAAGAGAGAAAGGTGAAGGTGGGAGAAGAGAGGTGGAGGGGCTTATAAGAAGAATTGCGTACTAAGGTAGCTGCAACAACCGCCAGAAACGCAAGAGTAAGGTGATGTTATGACACCAGATAAGGACCCAGTACATACAGTACAGTACAGTCAGTGCAGTATGTACATTACTTGCTATCGCCATAGATATCCACATTTACATCTTGATCGCTCTCCAATGCCATCGAGAACCTTGGTGGTGACGGCTCCCTCCCCCACCACCAAACTCCTCATATCTTCGATAGCTGTAACAGGCATGACTTGCTACACTAAAAGGGTACTCATGATACCCGAACGGGCAGCTCCGAAGAGCTTTCACAGAGGCTGATTCGCTAGTCAAGGCATCCAATGCATCGAGAAGCTTCTAATTACTGCACAACCGCAAACTGCCGTGCCTGTCACCAAAGCAGACCAACCTGAAGACGCCGCGGGGCAATTTCCATGGCTGCCCCACGTTAGAAGGCGTCATTGCCCCATTGAAGGGGCTAAAAGCCCGTGCTGTTGTTGCGATGTGGATTCACCTGAGAATGATATCAGCGACTTTTTATTTTTATTTTTTTTTACTTGTGGCGTGCCAGCTTTCGGTCTAGCTACCCCGAGTCAGTGCTGAAAGCAACCACTCAAAGATGGTTCTCGTGTATCATTGGCACGGCTGTACCTACCCAACTTCTGGGGTTTTTGGTGGGAATATGGAGAAGACGTCCTTAGTGTACTTTACTAATGCTAATGTTGGTTGGTATTTTGTGGGTGATGGACTGCCAAAGTTGTCATGAGGGGTAACAACCATGTTGAGAAACTGAGAGACCATGATGAAAGGCAGAAAATGTTGTATGTATTCATATTGGATGCATGCCCTTCATAAGCTGATAGGTGTTTTAAACACATTCATTCACATTATGTGAGATGATCGGGACTTACTGGCTTCTGGCTAACAAATTATAGAGATATGATATAATCATGATAAAGGTCGGGAACCCTTCTGAGCACTTTGTAGATCTTTGGGGGACGACTCATGACGGATCTCCCATCAGCACAAACAATCCAACTTTAAAGCCAGACAGAATCTTCAGCCATCGTAAGTACCGCTTGCTATATATAACCTTTATCGTTTCCGTGACTGCGCAGCATGAGCAATCCGGTTGTCAGCAACTAGACGTAAGTTACCTTATTATACACTTGTTTGAGGCCAACACAAGTCATGATTGCAGTGGTTCGATTACATTTGCGGTTGAGGACGGGACACAACAAAAGGAAAACAAAACAAGTCAGCTAATAAAAGAAAGAAAAAAACAGATACATGTAGCTTTCCAACAGCTTCTTGGAACCCAACATCCTATGTCTCCTTGTCCTCCTCCTCCTTCTTCTTCTGCTTCTCCTCCTTCTCCTTCTTCTCCTTCTTCTGTATACACCATTGCTTTACAAAGGGCCAAGTAATTCCAGCATCCTCCAAACACAAGTTCCAATTTTTCATTGTCTCCTGTATCAAGTCCGAGCCTTTTGTCGCATTCTTGTCAGGGTTGAAGTTGAAATTCTTCAACACGCTCGATTGTGGCAATATACAATTCTCAGTCCAAATAAACTTACGGTGCCGACCCTTCCCATATTCCAGACGAAACCCGAGCTCGCCGCTAAATGTACTCTCAATATCGATCAAACTCACCGCTGGGAGTTCTTCTGTGACCTTTTTGCCATGAGCGTTGGTGTATGTCCATTTCCGCAACGTAAGTGACTTCAGTGTCTCCCACGCGTGCTTGTTGATTTCTCTCTTGGGCAGTCCGTCTGGTGCTAGCGTAGGATCTGGAACAGGCTCAGTACGGCGTGCTGGCTTTGTTGGAGGCGGACGCTTATACTTGCTCTGAGGACGCACACGGGGCGGTCGAGCATTGAATGTATCCAGGGGAGCATTCGGTGGCTGAGTTTGATCCATCATAGGTGAAGTTTCAAAGCCCGCGTCCTCCATTTCTACATCGTCACCCGCCTCCATCTCTTCTGGCTTCCCCGTCGTTCGTACAGGCGCCTTTCCCTTACTGTCCTTGCTGACCCTGTATGGTTCGGACGGCTTCAGCGGCCGTATCTTATCTTTATTGCGCTTCTTCTGAGTTCCCAGCTTCCTCTTCTGCTCTTGCCGACGTTTTGTCATAACTTCTCTGAGGGCTAGCCACATTTCCGATGTGATCTTTCTGTCCTCTTCAGAGGTCTTTTGTGTGCGGTTAGATCCTTGGGCATCGAGATCGAGAGGGGTTTCAGTTTCGGCAAAGGTGAATTGCTCCCTGGTGATTCCCATACATTTCGTCAGACGCTCGAGTGCCCGCCCATTTGCTGGGAATACTTTCCCTCTACCATATTTCGGGTTGATGCTTAAGCCCCAGGTTTTGTGCCGATATATAAGCCCATTGTTTTTTTCATTCAAGGGATATATAAGCCCCTTGAGAAGAGATGCACCAAAGCGCTTGATGTCACCCTTCGCCTTGCCATAGCTCATCTCCTTTTCTTTGACATCAAATCTTTGCAGTTCGTCGAGAAAGCGGAATATTCTATGTGTCCGTTTAGCAGGGACGTGTTTGTCTCGGAAATCACAGTTGTCGAGCGCAAGAAGGTCATACGATGAAAACTCCTGGAGCATCCTAGAAACCATCTCGCGAGTGTCTTTCTCGGACTCTTTAGTCCATTCGTTAGATTTGCGGAACATGCCAGGCATAAGCTCCAGATGCTCTGCAACATCGGCGAGCAAATCCAAACCGTCGATTGTTTGGCTGATCAGATTTGAGAACTTTTCTGCTGGCTCAGCGTCACGGTTGTGGGCTTCAATATGCCTCTTCACTTTATCCGTAGTTTTCCGGATGCCAACATACATGGAGGAATGCTTATTCGAGATGAAGTTCTCAATAAGCTCAGCCACGATGCGATGTTTCCCCCCTCGGTCACTGTGCAAAGCCGTTTCCTGGAAGTCAAGCATAATATCTTCGCTGTCATAGTATTCTCTGATCAACCAGTCCTGTCTGTACTCTGGCCTTTTAGTAGTAAGGTAGGTGTTGCGCATGGGCTCAGAAGCGGCATGGACTGCTTCTTTACGGAATGTGAAGATGAAGAAAGCCGCAGCGTGCAGGATCAACTCGCGAATTTGAAGGTATTTTGCTGTATAGGAATCAAGTTCTTCAGAAACATAAGGTCTAGGTGCAGCTGTCCTTCTGAAGTATCCGAATTCTTCCATCTTGGGTGGT